AATTTTGTAAAGAAGAGCTTTAAAAGTTTAGAACAGGGCCACCTATAAGTAAAATTTACTGTAGAACAGTTTTACTTGGGCGGCCAAAATAGGTTTACTTAGTAGAATTTAGAGAATAGAGTGATTATTTTTAGAGAAAATTTGATACAAGTGATCGTTAGGAAGAGTTAGTGATTTGCATCCCTTAACTCTATTTTAAATCTAGCCTAATAATAATTAACTTTAGTATTTGTTTTGATTTTGTTACATGATGTAATTAGTCAATTACAACTATTACCATGTTACCAATAGTGACAATTAGATATTTTCTTTTTATTTTTTATTTTTTTTATTTTTATTTTTATTTTTTATTTTTAGAATAAATGTTCTTGTAACAACCTGTTATATGTAATAACCTTATATTAGCCAATAGTAATTAGAGTTAAGGTTTAAGTTATACAAATATTTAGTTATTTTTATTGGTTGTACTAATTAAGTTATTACAAATAAGTATATAACAGGTTGTTACAATTAGATTTGTCTTTATTTTTATTTTATTTTTTATTATATTTTATATTTTGATATTTAATTTAATTATAAATAACTGACAATAATTATTACCAGTATGTAATTAACTAATAATAATAAATAAATAATATTTTATTTTATTACTTTAAAATTAGAGCAAGACTAGAATTTTATAAAATATTAAATATATACAAAATTTAACAAGAATTTTTTTTTGCCAGAATGTAAAAGGTAGTTTTATAAATGAATTTTTGAAATATTAGTATTTTTAGAAAAAAATCTTTATTTTTGTTATGCAAACTAATTCATATATCATATCTAATTTTGCAAATTTATTGGCTAATTACATACCAGTGATGATTATTGCTAGTTATAGTTAGTAAAATTCTTTTATATTTTTTAATTTTTTAATTTTTATTTTTTTATTTTTTATTTTTTTATTTTATTTTTATTTTAAAAATAATATGTTTACTATAGATGATAATTATCTGTGATTACAATGTATAAAAATATTTTATAAAAAAAAATAAATATATTTAATATTTAGATTAAAATAAAGATTAAAAATTAAAAAGAAGGTTAGTTATAGTAAACTTTTGCAAGAAATTTTTTGTTAAAACTCAAAAGATAGTTTTTTAAACAAAATTTTGAGATATAGATAATTTTTAAAAAATTTGTTTTTGTTATACAAAATTGATTGGGCAAATTGTATTACAAGTAATAATCACCTGTAGTATATAATAGAATTTTCTTTGTTTATTATTATTATTATTTATTTTTTATTTTTTATTTTATTTTTTGAAATTTTGAAAATTTTAAATTTTGTCAAAAATGAACAAAAGAAATTCATTGCTAAATATCGAATAAATTTTTATTTGTAATACTCTTTTTAACAAAATAAATAATAAAAGGCCTGGATTTAATAACATAAATATGTAAAATTTATAATTGTTAATTGCATATTGAAGAAGTTATTCGATCTCAAAGTTCATCTATCAGGGTGATGCAAGATTAATAGGAGCTACTATACTAAGCACATGTTTAAATTCCGGAATTATAAATCACTGACATCAGATAATCATAGATTTTGATCTATCCTTCCTTCTTTCATTCGTTTTTTACATTCCTCTAATTGTTGTTGCCAATCAGTTCTCCACATAATAATAATTAGAATAATTGATATTATAATTGAACATACTGTACTTCCAAACCAAAGACCTTGTAATCCATATCCTAATTTAAAAGCTGTGAGTAGACCAATGGGTAATCCTAGAATAAAATATCCAGGGGCGTAAACTAAGGCACCAATATTTTGGCGGCCTTGCCCACGAAGAATACCTTGTGCAACTACATTTATACCATCGGATAACTTTTATAAGGTGTAAGAAATGAGCTTATGAATATTGTTTGTTAATATATATAATATTTAAGCAAATGTAATTGAATAAATGAATACCTCAAAGATGCTAATCAATGGCATGACGTAAGAAGTATATTTGACTACATCATCATTAAGGATGAATACATATCTATAA